GCCCCGGCCGCCACCCCAGGACCCCTGAGCCGGCCGCCGAGCCGCGGGAATCCTGATGTAAGTCTAAGTTGCAGTCTCAGTTCTCGGGCAGCAGAGACAAGAGGAAACGTGCGGAGAAGACGGCCATTCCACGGGCAGCGCCACCATCGGGACACCAGGCGCGGCACCCAGCCACTTCCTGCCACCGTTTCTACCCTCTGGCCCTGCGCCCTTGTTCCCAGTACGAGCGAGGACTTGTGGTAAGGATAAGTGAGAACCACAGGGGGCACCAAATACCTTTCCTGACAGCACAGACTATGCTCAGGAGGAAACAGCTGAATGGCAGGTGCACCCTAAACCTGCCTCATCAGCACCGCCAGCCCTCGGGTGGAATCTACCATTCCCAGCTGGGACTGACGGAGCCGGATCCTGCCACCACTGAGCCTCAGCTGGGGCTCTAACTGCACAGAAGACCTTGACGCTAATGGATTCAAATACCAAGTAAGAAGCCAGCATAAAGGGCCGCCCGCCCCAGCCCACACCCACCGCCCGGCAACAGCAGCGCTCATCAAGTGACACTCACTGCAGGGAGGTCCAAACCCCCCCGAATCAGGAGACGCAGGCCACGGGGCCAACGGCACAGCCCATCTACCCCTCCCTCGCGGGTCTGAGGGAGGCAGGAGCAACTCCGCGTGAGCCCACCTGTCGCACAGAAGCGCCACGCAGTCCTCCTGGCGCCAGTACGTGATCCTGGACACGGCAAACCTCTGAAAGGAAAGGCAGTGGCTTCAGTGATGTCCCATCAGGGACCCAAGCCAGGCATCAGAGCCGGGCTGCTCTGCTCAGAGAACACTGACAGCCCTCCAGTGTGGTCCTCGAAGGGCAGAGACAGTGCAGAACTCTCTGGAAACCAGTGCAGGCCCAGCTCACAGGTGACACATGGGACAGACAATACAGCAGGTCCATAGCATGTCTCCAAGGCCAAGAGAACCGGTAAGAAAGTGAGGAGGGCGGAGAACACAGGGAAGAGAGAGGAGTTGTCAACCATGGGCAGCTGTGTGCATGCTGACGCATCCCAGGGTCAGAGCCAGGAGTAGAGAAGAAACAACGGGAGGGGGCCACGCACACTTCTTGGGGGCTCCCAGACAGGAAGTGCGAGGCCCCGAGAAGCCCCCAGGCTCGTGCAGGCGCAGGGCCAGACGCACGGCCAGGAACCTGCTTGTTCCGGGGTAGGCAGGTGGTGCAAGAGGGTGCGGATGTGAGGAAGGCAGTGGAACAACCACACCTCTTTGCCACAGCTCCAAAGGGGGCCCCAGGGCTGCAGAAACCCAAGGGGGAGGAGCCCGCAGGGGTGGCCAGAGTAGCTGGAGTCCACTGACCATGGGGCTGAGGGCCGCGCTCTCAGGGTGCACTAGAGAACCAAGAAGCCGAGCCAAGGACGAGGCTGGAGAGCCCTTCAACTCACACCCAGGACTCATCAGACGCACGGAGAAGCTATGTCCAGGAGGGCTGCCACCCCGCCACCAAGACACCAGCCCTCGGCCAGCTCCCTCCCCACCAGGCCAGGTGAGCCTCTGGGAAGCTGGCAGGGCTGCCCTCGTGGACCACCTGGACCAGAGCTGTACAAGGCACCCATGTGGGAGCATCAGGGCGGAGAATCCTGCTCCCCTGAAAATCTCCCTCACAAAGGCCCAGGTACCCTGACCTGGGGACAGACTGGCCAGCGTGTCGTTCTGGGACATGAGACTGACCCCCAACAGGCAGAGGGAGAGAACACTTGGTGATCTCAGCTCCCCACCCAGGCACCACTATTTCTTCCATTTCCCAGCAGGACTAGAGGCTCTTCTGTAAATTAGTGGTTTGAACAGCAACACAGCGAGATATAAATTACTTTCCACTCACGTGACTAGGTACCTTCAATATCCGAAACACACGATTTCTCCTGAGCTGGAAGAGGTCTGTGTTGACAGCAAAGAGCCGTTTCCAATGTAAAAGGATTTTCCCACAGGACCCCAGTGACCGGAGAGGCCCCCACCAGCCCCCAGTAAACCCCAGACAAACATGCGAGGTTACCTTGTCGCCCCAGGGCTCCGCTGGCTCCTGCAGGCTGGTCAGGTGACAGCAGTGCAACTGGCGGCCGCTCCGGTACTCCCAGAGCCTCAGGGTGCGGTCCTGCACACACCAAGGACGGTTAGCAAGGCGCCCCAAAGCACCCAGGCCCCACCAGCTCGGGAGGGTTAACTCCACGACGACCAGTGCGCCCTTCCCAGCTGAAGGCTCTCTGCTCTTACTGACGACTGTGCACAGTCATGCAAATCAGGAGGAAAGACCCCGCACAGCAAAATGGGACAGGACACAAGACACCCCGTCACGTGCAGGTCAGAGGCCAGGTCTGTGGTGCTCAGGCCGGAATCACATACACACACGTGTACACACGCATGTAGCCATCAATGAGAACGCATCCGCACAGGGAAAAACACGTGGGACTAATGAGTGTGTGACAACTGTCCACTGCACGGTTTAAGAGTGGGTGATGGGGACGTCCACTTGTCACCCGTGAGAGCGTCAACCCGAACAGCCTCATGTGGGCTCCAAAATTACAGACGCAAGAAGGGGGGATTTATCAGGAACAAGACGAGGATGCTCACTCTCGCCACTTCTATCCAACACAGCGTTGGGAGTCCCGGCCACAGCAACCAGACAAGGAAAAGAACAGGAATCCAAACCAGGAAGGAAGAGGTAAAGCTGCCCCTGTTTGCAGTTGATGTGATTTTATACAAGGAAACCCTGAAGACTCCACCAAAACACTACGAGATTATAATAAATGAGTAAAGTTGCAGGGTACAAAATGTACAAAATTCTGTGTGTTCCTATACATTAACAACAAAATAAAAGAGCAATTAAGAAAACAACCCCATTTACAACTGCATCAAAAAGAATAAAATACCTAGGAGTAAATTTAACCAAGGAAGCGAAAGACCCGCACACTGGAAAGTGTGAGGTGTTGTTGAAAGAAACCGAAGATACAAGCAAACGGAAAGATAGTTCATGTTCACGGACTGAAAGAATTAACATTGTTAAAATGTCCATTATTACCTAAAGCAACTGACAGGCAATCCAGTCTCTATCAAAATCCCAATGACACTTTTCACAAAAATAGATCAAGCCCGAAAATTTGCACAAAACCACAAGGCCCCAAGTAGTCAAAGCAACCTTGAGAAAGAAAAACAAAGCTGGAGGCATCACACCCCTGACTTCAAACTACACTACGAAGCCACAGAAATCAAAACAGCATCGCATTGGCAGAAAAACAGACACACAGATCAATGGAACAGAGCTGAGAGCCCAGAAATAAACCTATGCACATGCGGTCAATTAACTTACACCACAGGGGCAAAGAACATTCCACGGAGAAAGGACGGTCTCCTCAATAGACAGTGTGGAGGAAACTGGACAGCCACGTGCAAAAGGATAAAACTGGACCCCTATCTTACACCAAACACAAGAAAGAACCTGAAACATATTAAAGACCTGAATGTAAGACCTGAAACCATGAGACTCCTAGAAGAAGAGAACGTACAGGCAGTACATTCCTTGACACTGGTCTTAGCAACATCTTTCTGAATACGTTTAAACTAAAAAGCTTCTGCACAGCAAAAGAAATAACCAAAGAATACAACTCAACAACAAAAAAACCCGGGCAGAGGATATGAATGGACGTTTCTCTAAAGAAGACAGACGTACCGAGGGCCGGCAGACACGTGCAGAGATGTTCAACAGCACGAATCAGGGAAAAGCCAACCAGAACCACCACAGCTCGTGCAGGGTCTGCAGACACACACGGCTGCGTGTGAAACAGATGAGCCACGAGCACCCACTGTACAGCACGGGGAACGACGCTTAGCATCTTGCAGGAACTTACAGTTAAAAAGAACACAGAAACAAATACGTGGATGTTCCTCTATGACTGAAGGATTGTGCTGTGCACCAGAGATGGACACACTGTAAACTGACTGTACTTCAATAAAAAAATACATACATACATAAATGTCTCATAATAAACTGTATGGAAAAGAATCTGAAAAAAATGTATGTATATACGTAAGTGAATCACTGTGCCGTACACCTGAAACTAACACTGTAAACCGACTGTACTTCAATAAAAAGTAAGATTAAAAATAAAACCACAATAGCTGTGAGAAGGGCTACTATCAAAAAGACCACAAACAGCAAGGCTGGCAAGGATGTGGAGAAAAGGGAGCCCTGTGCACTGCCGCTGGGAATGCAAATTGCTGCAACCACTCCTGAAACCGACACGGAGGTTCCTCAAAAAATTAAAACCAGAACTACCACATATATGATCCAGCAATTCCATTCCTGGCAAGAAAAACACTAACTTAAAAGGCTACCTGCACCACTCTGTTCACTGCTGCATTATTTACAACAGCCAGGCGATGGGAACCACCCAGGTGTCCATCAACAGGTGAATGTGGCGTGTGCACACACACTGGAACATTACTCAGCCATAGAAAAGATGGAATCTTGCCATTTGCAACAACATGGATGGACCTGGAGGGCATTATAACAAGTGAAGTAAGTCAGATGGAGCAAGACAAGCACCATGATTCCACTCACATGGAATATAAAAATAAACAAACCAAACAAAAACATGTAGATACAGAGAACAGAGCGGTGTTATCAGAGGGGGAGGCACAATGGGCAGAGGGTCAACTGCACGGTGACACGCGGAAACTAAACTTTTGGTGATGAGCACGTGGTAGCATGCAGAAGGCAGAATACAACGTACGTGTGATACTGACACCTGATAAACCAACCCAAAGAAACACTTGTGACAACACTCATTAGGATGGAGGGAAACAGAACTGTGCATCTACGGACAACAACCAGACAGGGAGTGAAGGAGCTGAGCCCACGCCAGCATCCAGCACGGGAAGACCCCTCCCGCGGAGCGTGGCCCCGTTACTACAACAGGCATGCACAGGCCACGTGCACCTGCAGGGCGAACACTGAGTCATATGAGACAGAACTTCTGCCTGCCTCGTGAACACTTTTAAGTGACCAAAACAACACAAGGAAAAGTGCGGGGAGGGTAGAGCTCAGGGGTGAAGCGTGTGCTTAGCATGCATGAGGTCCTGGGTTCGATCCCCACTCCCTCCATTAAAAACAAATAAAATAACTTTTTAACAATTAAAAAAAAAAGAAAGAAAATTAATGTCCACCGAACAGCTGGCAACAAGAATCTCTGGGCACTGGGATGCAAGTATACATATCCTGCCATGAACAGAGCAGACACGGAGACAAACACATGTCTGCAGGTGTTCCCACTGACCCCAAAGCCCTCTAGGGGCAAGGGGTGTTAGTGAGTGGGCCCTCCAGGACCGAGACAACCACAGGAAACGTCAACACATCCTGAGATGCGGGGAACATGAGGCCCTGGCCTCAGGGACACCAGATACTCGCAGAGCCACAGCCCCCCTAAAAAAAGTGAAGAAGGGGGAGCCGACCCCCACGGAGGAAAGAAGGGTTGACCCAGATGGACTGTGGGTCCCCACAAGGAAGCAGCCCGGGGCCCGACTCCACCACCCGGAGTGCGCACCGGAGGACAGGAACACGAGGAAACGCCCAGGACCGCGGACCTGAAGACTCAGAGCAGAGAGCCGCTGGCCACGCAGGGGACTCACGTCAGGCCCCGCCAGCCCCACCCTGTCTCCATCACCCTTCAGAGCAGTGGGTGAGAGAGCCCCCCTCGAAAGGGTCTGAGAGAAGGGAGACCAGATCCCACACAAAGGAAGCAGACTCAGAACGGCCTCAAACATCTCAAAAAAGTGGGGAGAAAACCAAGCCAACTAAACAGAAAACTCTGCAGCAGTGCCGTGAAGATCTCTGGGGAGACGTCTGAGCAAGAACCACGCACCCACCCGCAACCAAGTGCTGGGGGTGGAGAAAGGGCACTTCCAGAAAGCCACAGTCTCCCAACACGCATGCTGCCCGCACGGCCAGGAAGCTGCCGGGCGACGTGCCCCCCAGACAAGGCAGGGAGCGGGGCAGGGCACCTTCAGGAGACCAGGAGCCTGCCAGCAAAGCAGGGCGGGCAGAGGCAGGAACGCACCGCCTCCCACGCAGAGGGCAGGAGCTCCGGTCTCTTGGTCACCCCTGTCGTTTGGACACTCAGGCTGCACAGCTGAGAGCTCCAGGGCCCGCCTGGAGTGGGGGGTCCCGTCCTAAGCCGTGGAGCAGTACCTGACTTTGCAAACCAACCACACGCTCTTAATAAACTTGCACACTGCGCTTCCCAGCACGCAGGGCAAACCACACCACGCACGCCCAGGCGGCCCGTGGCCCCAGGACCCAGCGCCAGCCCCACTGTTCCTATAAAAAGGAGCAGAAGCAAAATATTGAACCTGACACAGCTAAGTGCTGAGTTCAAAGGTGGTCAGTGCACTTTTCCACATGCCCGAGTATCTTCTTTTTTATTACAAACAAGGTGCACAGCAAAATTCACAAAACCCGGCCATCTCTGGGAACTCTGCGCACGTTTATTTCTTCTCCGGCTTTCACAGGACCATATGTTGCCTTGAAGAGCAGGAAAGCAAAACCCGTGAGAAACCACACATGCTGAAGGAAACAGGAAGTGGTGCCCCCAACCCTGGAAGGAGAGGACGGGCCCCCTCCTGGCCCACCCCGGGCCCCTGAGCTGCACAAAAAGCTACTGCACTGAAAGGCAGGGTGTAGGGAGAGGGCAGAGCCTCTGAAAAGAAGGGAAGAATCAGGCCCTATTAGCAATTCAACACCTGCGCTTCAGCAAAAGGGCTGCTTAGTGAGCCTTTCAAAGATTATTCCTTAGTGAAACGTGCCTTAATCACCCACCGGTTCCAGCTTCAGGCCCCAGCGGCTGTGCTTACGCCAAACATCCGCCAAGGCCAAGTGCCTCGGGCCCTCCGTGTGCTCACAGCCCCGCGGTCCCTCCAGGATTCACAAAGGGTGTCCACTAGCTGTCTGAACTGAGACCCCGGTGCTGTTACAAATGTAACGAGCCCTCAGAAGAGACTCCAGGCATACCCGTTCTGCCTCAGTGCGCACACACGCTCACAAACACACACACGCACAACCCGGAAGCGAGGCGCGAGCCCCAGCCAGTACTGAGGACCACAAGCACCATCTAGTGGACGGCCACCAGGAGAGGGACATGGTGACTTCTGAACCGCAGCTGAGAACAAAAGACAGGCTGGTAGCCGGTGGGGGCAGAAGACCCGGGGCACGCGCAGGGGGGCACTTACCCCGGAGGAGGACAAGAGCAGCTCAGGGTGGCCGGGCGCCACCAGGATGCGGCTCACAAACCTACAGGTGAGATATGGGGTAAGCCAGCGCCGCGGGGACCCCCCCCCAGAAACCCTGAGCAGCCACAGCAGCCTGTCACCACGTGGGGAGCACGCCCTGTCACCCCAGGCCTGGCTGCTCCCTGGCCACTCAGGGGCTGCCCACATGCCCTTCAGGGACATGGCCACCGGGCGAGGGCCAGAGGGCTTGCGGGTCATAGGGACTCGGGAGGCTGACTTACCAGACAACTGAATAACAGCCAAAATACGCTGTCATGAAGTATGAACTGAGCCAGCACTGACCTTCTTAAAGGTCAGTTTTTACATTCCGTTCAAAATCCAGGGAACAGGAGCAATCTCAGAACTAAGTTAAATCCCCCCAACTCCTCCACTGCCTCAAATGACGTCGCTTAAAACATTCCAGCCAATCAACAAGCTAAGCGCTTCTCCTCTGTACAAACTGTAATGAGTCTTCTGCCTGAAGAGGGCAGTATTCTTCAGAAATGCCTCCCTCACATAACGTCAGAATCCGATCCCTGAGCCAGCGCTCGCTTGCCAGGCGACAGGGTCACAAAGCCAGCGAGCGCCTCGGTCCTTGGTAACCATTTGATTCTTAGACCCTTTAAATTACTGAAGCATGTTCCTCGCCCTCAACACACCCCCTACTGAGCGCCGCCCACTGCCAGGCCCTGACAGGAGGGGCAGGCCCTCCGGGGACAGTCACTGAGCAGAGAAGGGTGGGTTGGGCAGGGGGCCCAGGCTCCGGCAGTGGCAGGGCCAGCCCGTCTGCAGTGACCACGAGCGGGGGACCGAGCCCTCAGCGACAGTGAGACAACGTCTGGGAAACTGGTTCTGAGCAGGGAGGGAGGTTCTGCAGGGAACCTGCTGACAGAAAGCAAACATGCAGGCTGGGCTGCACCAGCCGGTCCCCTCCTCCCGGGAGGCGCCTCCCGCTGGCCACCAACCACCCGAGCTGAGGGGTCCACCCGCCTCTCAGACCTGAGCCTCCCTAGGGGACGGCGTGCAGCGGGGAGACTCACTCAGTGTGTCCGAGGCAGAAAGACTCAATGTTGTGCGGGGCCGTAGCCCAGCTGACCCGGATCTTCTCATCCCGGTCGGCAGTGAGGACATAGCGGTCGTCAGGGCTCACGGCCTGTGCACGAGGGTGAGAAGGGACAGACCACAGGTCAGGAAGCCAGCTCCCCGCCCCCACCCCATCTGCATGCCAGTTGCTTCCGGGCACCTGTCCGCTCAGCACAACCCCTGCCCACCCTCACCCACTCCCGTCCCCAGGATCACCTTCCTTTCCTCCCTTTCCCGTGTCCCTGTGTCCAACCAGTCACCAAGTCCTGGTGACCTGTCCTTCATGACCCTTGTTCGGGCAGGTACCCACCGCAGCCCCGCCACCCCCTGGCTGCAGCCCAGCCCTCACTGGACCTCTCGGGGCCCCTGGGCAGGGCCAGCTCCTGGCTCTGGGGTTAGGGTGCCAGCTCTGCCCACACCATCTCCCTGACCTGGGCGGCCCTCACGTCTAGAACCGCTCAGCCAGCCCCCAACCCAACAGTCTCCTTTCAGCCTGCTCTCAGCTTCACTGGAATCCGTCCTGGGGGCCCTCCTACCCACAGGTCTGCCGGGGCTGTCCCCCATACGGGCCGGCCTCACCGCACGTGCACGGGGGCTGGGCTGCCCACATACCACGTCCAGCAGCATGGACAGGTGTCCGAGCTCGAGCCTGCCAGGGCCGTGCTGGTCCAGCACTGGGAAGGAATAGACGTCCCCGGACTTGTCCGCCACCAAAACCTTCTCCTCAGAGGCCGTGAACGTCAGGGCCGTGCACCTCCTCACCACGGTCCTGGAAGGCCAGACGCCTGCGGTCGGCTCAAACGGGTCAACATCAGGCCCGCCTGCTGACCTGCAAGCCGTCAGTCCCTTGGCTCCCAGCCACGCGGCAGTTACCAAAGATAGAGCCAAAAACATAAAGCAATTACAAGAGCAATTACAAGAATGGAAACAGAGCTGATGCCTGAGACAAAATTTATTTTCCTAATACTTTTTTCTTTCAAACACACGGGAACGGCAGACCCGAGGTGGGGGGTATTTAGATGCCCAGCGTGAAGCCCTCCCACCTCGGCTGTGACTGTGACAACATCCTCAGAGAACGCAGGGGCTGCTCCCTGACCTCTGGGCATCCAGGGAAGACAGCATCCAGCTTCACAGCCACCAGGCGAGCTCCAAGCAGCAAAGCCACAGCACAGCCACCAGGGGGCCCTCCCGCCCCGCAGCCTCCCACCCCACCGCCCTCCGTGCCAACCCAGGGCTGCTTCTGCCACCTGGCCCAGGTCCCCACACGATGCTCACGCGCCACACCTGAACACAGGGAAGGCTGCGACGCCAAGAGCCGGGGCGGACACAACACGGGGCGGCCGCGAGATTGCACTGGCCACCCTCCGGGGACAACCCTGGAGGGACAGTCACAAATTCAAACTCTCGATCTGGAGCTGCAAGACCTGTCACATTTGTGAGCCAGTCCAATAACAATGTTGGCCGTGAGGCCAAGATGACAGCTTATGCCCGGTTTGTGGCATCAGGGGTCGCACAGCCCGCCCACTCTCCAGGGCCAGGGCTGCGTGTACCCTCCTGTTACTGCTTTCCGCTCCTACTAAGATGTCTCCCAAGTAGCAAAATGTGCTCTCCACAACAAGGTAGCTCCATTTTTCACTTTACACTAGAGACAACTGAGACCTTTGCTTCACAAAACACAAAAACCTTATGTTTATCTACACGCGTGGCCTCGTCACAGAAGAGCCAGTCCTAGCTTTCCCGGTCACCCGAGGGCTGGGAGGGGACCTACCGTCCCCATAAAGAATTCACATCTGTGCAGACGGCACCCAGCTCACAGCAGCTGGAATTCCAGATGCTGGCTTGAAATGGAAACTGACACATAAAGGAATGACATCCCGAACATGAGGACCCACAGGCCCCCGCAGGGCTCTCAGGAGGGACAGGAGGGCAGCGAAGCAGGCAGGAGGCCTGGCTGTGCTCCCCACTCCCCGCCGGCACAGGCTCGGCTGCAGCTCAACCGCTTCCGCTCTCCGGCTGGTGCAGCCCCCGCAACAGTAGCAGCCGCAACGTGATAAACACAGGAAAACAATGACAAAAAGGGGTAATTAGGCTCCAGGGCAACTTAATCAGAATTTCTTGGGGTGAGCTGTAATTTAAACAAACGGCCTGTGCTGCGCTGCAGCCACACGTCCGCACGTCCTGCCTGGTAACCGAGCAGCTGCGCAGGGCATGGCTCAGGGCTGGGGGTAAGCAGGGCAGGGGCACCAGCCTAGGACCGTCCTCTGGGAGAAACGGGCGTGGATCCCAATGAGCTCATGCACCTGCCCCAGGCGGCCCCCTTCCATCGGCTAGCGACTGGCGACCGGCGACCGAGGAGGCGCAGCGGCACTCTGAATCTCGCCCCCTTGCCCCCTGCCAGCAGGGGTGCTTCCCACTTCTCAGGCTAAATTCAGGCAACGATTCCAGGATGCGGCTCAGCTATGTGGAGCGGATTTGGGAGTCAGGGTCCCAGGGCGTCAGGTCAGATGGGGGCAGGTCGTGGGACAGGACAGTAGGTGGGCTGGCTGCACTGCTCCAGCGGGAGGGGCCCTGGGGGCACCGATCTCTAGCCTCCGTGTGGTCTGGGGCCTCAGCACTTTCCCTCCCTCCACCGAGTCACTCGGTTCACGGCCCAGGCCGGGCTCCTCAGGCCCCCCAGGGCCGAGAGGGCTCTGAGGGGAAAGCGGGTCCTGCTGCCACTTGGGGGCCCCACCAGTGAGACGCAGATGAGCTGCGAGTCCAGGAAAGCCCTGACCTGAGCTGGACATCAGGTGTGCCAAGGGTGGTGATGTGCTGAGGGGCCCGAGCCCCAGAAGTAAAGGGCCGCCAGGTGGGAGGATGACGTCCTGGACCAGCGTGGGGGGGGGCGCCCAGTGCACGTCGTTGCCCCGTGACACAAGCACACCCCCACTGACACAGCTCGCCCCACCGAGACGCAGGCTCACCTTGCTCTCCTTCTCCAAAGGCTTAATCGGAGAGGCTAGGCGCTGAGCTCAGGGAAAATGTAAAGGAAGAGGCAACACGAGAAGTGTGCCCCTCCCACCGCCCCGGCCCGTCACCCCGCCACCCAGCAGCTGCCGAGCACCATGACGGAGGCCCTGAGCCTGTGACCTGGTTCCTCTTCACCAATGACACCGTCTGTCGTCTGTACCACCTGAAGCAAGCCTTTCCTATGCAGTTATCCTACAGATGTCAATTTAAAAGCCAAGGCAAACACACAATTAAAAGGGAAAAAGGCCCGGCACTAAGACTGCTGATGTCCACAGACCCGAGTGTTACCAGGTCTCAGGTGGAAACAGCTCCCAACACAGTCTTCCCCTCAGTCCAACACCCACAGACCTCGGCGAGGAGGGACCAGGACCCAGGTGCACACGTGACCAGTCATCTGGACACCCTCCCTGCCCTGTGCTTACTGACCAGCCTGATGACTCATGGACCCACATGGGTTGGGGCCTCTCCCTCCTCCCGTCAGACCCCAAGTGTGCCAGAGCCCTCTAAAACAGTCAGAGCCCCCAGGAGCCCTGGGTGCGCCCTCTCCAGGAGCAGAGGCCTGGGAATTAGGACCCAGGAGTGCAGGCAGGCTGCGAGGACGTCCCTGTTCCCAGCACCAAGAGGCTCATCCAATTTCCAGCTCCACACGCCACACCACCAGACGGTCAGGCGAGAGCGCAGCCGCTGTAGATGGACTCACTTAACACAAATAGGGAAACCCACGTTCCCCAGCAGATCATCAAATGAAAAAGGAGCCACTACTCCAGTGGGAAAGCAAACGGTAAGAGAGGACAGCTCCTGAGACACAAGGAGCTCAGGCTGAGAAGCTGCTCTCCTCACGCATTAGAAGGAGAGCGCACAAGGCCGTTTCCCCTCCATCAGGCTGCCCGAGCCCAAGGCTGGGAGCTACTCAACGCTGTCGTGGGCAGGGGTCGGGGAGGCACTCCGACGCTCTAGGGGTGAAGGGGAGATCCCTGGGAAGGCAATGTGTGATCATCTACCTCATTTACAGACACACCTGTCTTTAGTCTTAGCAATTCATTTTTAGCAACTTGTTTAGATAAATGAGAAAAATTTTATCTGTACATGATAATTCACTGAAGCACTTTTTGAAAGAGCAAAATAAGTGAAACACAAGTGAGAAATGTCCATCGCGAGAGAGGGTCAAGGAAACTCATGCAGACCCCCAGGACAGGACCACAGGCAGAGTTTCCACCCTTCCCCAAGTGCTGGCCAGCAGTGGCCTTTCCACCACCGGCTCCAGGTGTGCCTCCTTCAGCCCCGGAAGACCCCCCAGGGTCTCCTCTGACCCCGGCCTGACCCCTCAGGGCCTCTGATCACTGCCCAGGTCCCCTGGCCAACCTAGAGGGTCAGGTGTGGATTTACGAAGCACCTGGAGGGCAATCAGAGCTCTGTTACATCATGAGGCATCCACAGCCCAGGCAGAAACAATCAGCCTGCACGTCCTCAAGGTACCCCAGTGGCTCTAGGACCTTCCAGAACACAGCAAGACACTCACAGGCCGGCCCGAGGATTAAATCAGTTATCACAAGTCAAACACTCAAAACAGTGGCTGGCACATAACTGGTGCTACGTGTTAGCTGCTTATGCTAGCGTTACTGTCACTACTGTCACTGGCATGCAAGTGTAAGCTGTGCGTTCGACATCATAATTATGCAATGTTAGCATTTCATACCTGACACTCAGACATTGCCATGGTTTTGTACGGAAAAGAATCAGACGCTTACTGTCATCGGTTAAAGCAAAATAGCTGCCAGACTTGGAGAAGGTGGACGCCAGAATCGTGTCAGTCCCCTTATCCTCGGACTGTCCGTCGGCCCTGAGAAAGAGAGGAGACAGGTCAGGCCTTCTCCAAGCAAGCAAGGCTGCACCCCACAGGCCAGCCTTGTGCGTTTATAACATGAGCAGAGGTAGAAAGGGTAAAGAGGTTTGTGCAGCCAGAGTATAAAACATATTAAAGGGTCATGGAAGAGTTAAAGGTCACTCTACCTTTTAAGGAGAAAAGTTAATGAAACGGGAAAATCTCTCAGCAAAGACACCAGAATCCCAAGATCTGCGCTGGAAAGACCCTCAGAGATCACACGACCCACTCCCTCACGACATGAACTAGTCCAAGACTAGAGGCAGGAATTAAATCATATTAAAAAAAAAAAAAGTAATAAACTGGGCCACAAAACCAATTCTTCTGAAGAAAACCACCACACAAAATGATCATACTCTGCCTTTTTTAACTTCCACCTAGCTCAAGTTAATTTCATAGTACATTATATATTACATAATACATACCTGCCGTCAATGTATTAAAAACTGCATTGTGTCATTTCAAAGTGCCAGTAAAATAGTTAATCACTGGCAGAAAAGAACTTAAAGTATTTTTAAAAGTGCTAACATTCCTAATGTCTAATCTGAACGTTAGTCCACGTTTCCTTCCTGAGTGGCACCTGGTCTACCCACACATCAGCAGTGACAGAAACGAAGAATCCGCAAGTAAGATAGCGATTCACTTCTTAAAACTATCCGGTCCCATGACTCAAACCTCGGATCGTGAACCAGCCCTGAAGAGGCTTCCCCGTCATCTCACCCTTTATATTCTTGTGACTTCTTTTCCACGGTACTGCAATCATATATGAAGAGGCTGTCATCATCACTAAAGAAAAATAACAAAAATATTTTAAGAGAAGCACTTTGTTAATAAAAAATGGCCATTTCTTTTTTTTTTTTTTTTGGCCTGGACCAAAAAAATATTTCCATACTAAGGAGCTTATCCACAAGAAACTGTCTCCACACGTTATTTCAGGAACAGTTAAGGAGCTTTATTTGCTTAACTTACTTATATTTGCCATACATAACTAGCATGGTTCTGTCCATCAGGTAGGTAAAATAAATTAGGACAAAAACTCAACAGGAAGTAATAATACTGTTTTTTCATGCACCAGAAAACCTGCACAAGATGGTTAGGTTAGAAGAAAGCATGTTCTGATGTTGAGTTTTCAGTGGGTCTTTTGCACTCAAGTTTAAAACTGCCATTTCTTGTATAGAAAAATGTCTCATCTGCCCCCCAAAAAGCTCCCATGGCTGCCAAGCAGTTACCAGTATAGAAACCACCCATCTTCCCTATTAGACCCCAAGCCCCCTCCTCCAGTGCCTGGCAGAGACATCTTGGTACAAATTTATAGGCATAAGAGACTGCAGCCAAACTCTTTTCATGTGAACACTGTGGTGCAGAAAGGGGAGTAGTCCTCCAAGTCAGAAACTGCCAGCCAGCCACCAGATTCCCTCAAAAAGTCTACTGAAGCAAGCAGATGGGGTCTCATTTGCCCATGTCTCACTGTGGCATGTGTTAAGACACCAGGAGGCTCTAAAGCAAAATAACCTGGGACAGACGACCGGCTTATGAATAAATTTGTGAAGTCTAAACTTAACATGGAATTGTATTTCTGAAACCAAACGGTGAACAGAGAGCACAAGAGAGCACATTTACATTTGACAGACACATCGTCTGTTTCAAGTTTGAGAGAATCAACCCTACCCAGGAAAAGAAAACAGAGGGCCGAAACTGACCGCTGCTAATACACACGACGCTCCTGGGCCAAGACTACTCGATCAACAAACATCTACTGACTTTAAATATCCCGGGAACGATAAGGAAGGAGCGGGAAACTAGGGATAAGACCCTCCAGCCTTTAAGGGCAAGTCGGGCGGGTAGATTTCGGCTGTGGGCGGGGATGAGGGAACAGGCACCACCGCAAGAAGGCGGCGACAAGGAGTGCGCCGAATACGTTCCTGAGAGTAAACCCCTCTCCCCAAGGGAGGTCAACGGCTTCCTTTCTCCTCACACACCAGACCGGGTCTGACCGGCATCCCCAGGACACCGCACTGGCACAGCCAGGCCCGCGTTTCACCAGGTGACCCGGCCCCCACAAAAATCGGAAGTGTCCGGCGCTGACCCCGCGGAGAGCGCTGCAGACCGGCCACCCACGGCGCGGGGCCCAGGAATCGGGGCAAGGAGCGCCCTGGGCGGGTCCTGGGAGAAGGGATGCAGGCAGCCGCGGAGCTCCGCGGGGTCATCCCAGGGCGGGGTCACCCGAAAGCGGCGCGGGGG